AGGATATTTTTCAAAAATTATGTGTTCACCTAAGAAAACATATTTGTTTTATATTCTTTTCCTAAGACCACAATATCTTTCCTTTTTTGCTTTATATTCTTTTCCTACGAACAATATCTTTCCTTTTTTTGCTTTATATTTTTTTCCTACGAACAATATCTTTCCTTGTTTTGCTTTACATTCTTTTCCAACGAACAACATCTTTCCTTTATATATATGTTTGCGGCAATAAGCGAAATTAGGCATTAAGCTTAAATCATAGGCAATAAGCTAACGCCTAGGCATTAAGTTACTGTCTGAAATTTCAAGGCATTAAGCTTATTTCCTGAAATCTGATGATGATTATTCAGCCAATTGCCTAACATCATTTCAGGCAATAAGTGAAATTTGAGGTTTTGTTCTCATTTTCAGTTTAGGCATTAACATTAATGCCTGGACATAATTTTCAGGATTTAGACTTAAATCCTAGGATAAAAGACTAATGCCTAACATTATTTAGGCAATAACTTAATGCCTAGGCAGTTTGTTTTCTCGTTTGAATTGTTTCACATTTGTCATTTTGGGGCCTTTTATAACTGGCTATGCTGTATGAGCTTTGCTCATTGTTGAAGGCCATAAGGTGTCTTATAGTTTTTAATTTATGTGACATTTGGTTTCTTGTGAGAGTTGTCTCATTGGCAATCATATCACATCGTCATTTTATATAAACGCCGCCGGATTGTAATACCTATGTCTCGCATTCTGCGACTCTCGTCATAGGCGAGCCAAAAATGCAAAGTAAAGATGTGCACAAAAGGGTATATAGTGGAACATAAATGTGCCCCTCTAATACACTGGCGCATGGAAATGTATATGTCAGATTCATCTTTCAAAAAATTTACACTTGGAAAAAACACAATGAGATTACAAAGCATAAATCACACGCTGATAATTACAAACAAGCGTTGCAAATAAAAAAACAAACAAACTACATAAGATTCTAAATATATACAAATAAGAAGATGTGGTAGGATTGCCAATGAGAAGACTATAAAGTTCTAATAAAGAGAATAAAAGCAATTATGGGCACCCACAAGGCCTTAAACAACTATAGGTCACTGTACGGCCTTCAACAAATGAACCCTTTTTTCGAAAATATAAGTCCAGCATCTTTATATTCATTTACTGTCACAATTTTATGATTATCAATATCAAATTTCAAATTCTTTGACAATCGACCTTTGAAAACATCATATTTTTTGTTTTCTTCACATTTATTTTCAGTTTCCAGTGTTTAATTAAAAAAAAAAGAAGTTTAGCATCATCTGTAAATCCTACAAGTTTCTGACATGAACATTGTATCATCAGCATATACAGTAAAATAAACCATTAATTCATTTTCTGTATCTCTTTAATATAGTTCTAACCCTTTAGATTTTGTAGTTTCTAGAAAGTGTTACAAGTTAAAAAATAAAGAAAACGAGATAGATTAGAGATTCTCCCTTGTCTTACTCCTATATCACATACCAAAAAGTAAGCCGGACTTTTCATTATTATGTACTATGCAATATTTTGTATCTGATACATATTTTTACAACTCTAAAAAAAAATCTGGTTCATGTGGATTTGTAGAAGTTTGAAATATAAAGAGTTTCTATGTACAAAGTCAACGGCTTTTTGTTCAAAATCTACAAACGCACAATAGTTGAAGTACTCCGTATTAATATGAAAGATGCACGAGATTTGCCTTTTAACTTTGAGGTATGAAACCGTGACACTTCGAATTATATATATCATTTTATTCTGGTATCACCTAAGTTGAACAAAGGTATACAGAAAAACATATTAATTAACATTACATTGCGTTGTACTTTTGTTGAGGAAGCATTAAATATGAGTTATTTTACACGGTATGATCAGGAGCAGTACAGCCGACAGGTTAACATCAGAGAGAATCCACTTTGTCATTTATAATTCTAATAAATTGGCACAATTTTCGAAGTTTAGATTGCTGTTTTTGGTTCATAATAGCTTTAAATTTAAAAACATTACAGCTCGATAGGTATTTCTTGTCAATTAGTAGTGCTCTATCTGTCTGTAGACTGTCGCATTCCATTAAATATTGGTATTCGTCACCGATAGCAACTCTGCACAAAGGACACTTTGAAATTCTCTGTTCTCGTGGAATGTTTTGACATCTCAATTCAACCTCACTCAAAACATAAAATGTTTTTTTATCGATTACATATTTAGCTATAACAATTTGCAATAAGCTTATATAAAACGTAGTTATAATTTTTGTATTATTTTTTTGTTTCATAGAGTTTGAATGTACAATTATTATATAACAATTATTTATTTGCTTTAATTTAAAACTAATATTTTTTTTCTAATATAGAATTATGACTATTGGTTTGATACAATATTTTCATTTTTTGTTCGTTTTAATTTACCATTTTCTTTTAGGCCATTTTACGCCAATACTTAGGACAGCGGTTAGGACATCCTAGCTAATATAATCATAAGATAGCTTCGATGTGCATGCTAAGACATGCCGTCAGTCGGTCCTAACTTTATCCTTATCTCTGTCCTTAGAAATTCTTAGGATCGATCTTAGGACAGTTTCTATATTATGTTGATAAAATGTCAAAAGTTATGTCCATTATTCCGCAAAATACCATCTTCACTTTTGACATTTATCATTCAGAGTCAATTGCACGACGACAATTTACTTATATTTTCCGTTCCGCAATAACTTACCAGTAATGCTTTGGAGTGTCAAAAATAATAGAAAAAACACGGTGATGTATTATGGAATTATGTTGGCTTTCTATGAAATTCTTAACTTTTTTCATTATATTTTTATTTCCATTAATTCATAACCATAAAACAATAAACAATTCGGCAGACAAAGCAATATTTATTTATTTATTTATTTATTTATTTATTTATTTATTTATTTATTTATTTATTTATTACTTACTCATCATCATCATCATCATCATCATCATCATCATCATCATCATCCATCATCATCATCATCATCATCATCATCATCATCATCATCATCATCATCATCATCATCATCATCATCATCATCATCATATTTATTTATTTATTTATTTATTTATTTATTTATTTATTTATTTATTTATTTATTTATTTATTTATTTATTTATTTATTTATTACTCATCATCATCATCATCATCATCATCATCATCATCATCATCCATCATCATCATCATCATCATCATCATCATCATCATCATCATCATCATCATCATCATCATCATCATATTTATTTATTTATTTATTTATTTATTTATTTATTTATTTATTTATTTATTTATTTATTTATTTATTTATTTATTTATTTATTTATTTATTTATTTATTACTTACTCATCATCATCATCATCATCATCATCATCATCATCATCATCATCATCATCATCATCATCCATCATCATCATCATCATCATCATCATCATCATCATCATCATCATCATCATCATCATCATCATCATATTTATTTATTTATTTATTTATTTATTTATTTATTTATTTATTTATTTATTTATTTATTTATTTATTTATTTATTTATTTATTACTTACTTACTTACTTACTTACTTACTTACTTACTTACTTACTTACTTACTTACTTACTTACTTACTTACTTACTTACTTACTTACTTACTTACTTACTTACTTACTTACTTACTTATTTACTTACTTACTTACTTACTTACTTACTTACTTACTTATTTACTTATTTACTTATTTACTTATTTACTTATTTACTTATTTACTTATTTACTTATTTACTTACTTACTTACTTACTTAATTATTATTATTATTATTATTATTATTATTATTATTTATTTATTTATTTATTTATTTATTTATTTATTTATTTATTTATTTATTTATTTATTTATTTATTTACTTACTTACTTACTTACTTACTTACTTACTTACTTACTTACTTACTTACTTACTTACTTACTTACTTACTTACTTACTTACTTACTTACTTACTTACTTACTTACTTACTTACTTACTTACTTACTTACTTACTTACTTATTTACTTACTTACTTACTTACTTACTTACTTTACTTACTTAATTATTATTATTATTATTTTATTATTATTATTATTATTATTATTATTATTATTATTATTATTATTATTATTTATTTATTTATTTATTTATTTATTTATTTATTTATTTATTTATTTATTTATTTATTTATTTATTTATTTACTTACTTACTTGTTTTTCCTCTTGTTATTTATACTGTTTTTTTCCTGACAATAATCTTAAAAGCATTGAAGTGGTTAAAATCTTTCCAGAGCCCGGGTTCATACCAAAGTCCATTCGGAATGCGGTACGGTTTTATTGTGTTCATTTACCTGTGCATACTATATCAAAAACGAGTTGTCTCCCTTTCGGGTTCGGTTTCCCACTTATTCCTTTAGAACTGAAATAAATGGTTGTGTTTTATACAGTTTGAAATTTTTATGATATGAAAGATGATATTCATCACACGAAATCAGAGTGTTCCTCAAGAAATCAGATAAAACAGAGAAAATAAAGAAAAATAGGTTCCCGAGTTCGGGTTACCACTTTTACCAAGGTGGAAATATAGAAAACTTATTTTTCAATCTTTAGTAAGTTAAGAACAAAAGCGTACTCATACATAACATAAAACTTTATATTTTACACCATATCCATTAATTTTTGTAACAAAAATCTCTAAAGAATGATAACAAAACATATTTAAAGATTTCCGGTTCGGCGAATTTCCGGCAAATTCCGGTTCGGGTTCGGGTTCGGGTTACCACTTTTACCGACCACTAATGAGTTAATATAGTATATCCCATATTATATGTACGCCCTTTGGGGTGCTTATTATGTTATCATATTTTCTGTTTTAATATAGGGTAAAAGGGTACGTTGTTACAAATATTGTTTCGAACTTTTTGGTCTATAACACTTCGTTCTTTTACGACAGCCGTAGTTTAGTCGCTGTGGTTTCGTAACATAACCCAGCAGAGGACAAAACTGTAGTTACGCTGGTTTTCGTGTTGAACTACAAAATCATGACTTGAACATCATTTAAAAAAAAAAAGTAATGTGATAAAATACTTTTGATCTACAAATAATTTCTTTTTTTGCTGAATGTCTATCTCTTCAGCATTCTACACATGAACGTCCCATGGATAAAACTTTGAGATGCTCCCTCTCTGGTAAAAACTTATTGTCAGTCAGGGGTACTACTTGTACAAGTAATTTTTATTTATCCTGCAATCAGCCAACTATTGTACAAATAACAGGTACACAAATAAATTCTTGCTTTATTTGTACTTGTACAAATAAAGTCTCCTGTTACCCCTCTTCCATGTTGAGCAAGCAGTAATGTGGATATTTCTTTTTGCGTACCAGTTCAATTTGGGGTCCTCTTCGCGGTCCGCGTTTAGACTATGTCGATTTCTTTGAAAAATTAGAGACAATGATTTAGATTTTAACAACTAAAGTTTCAAGTGTTGGGTGTAAATTTTAGGATAAAAACAATATATATACATTGTCGGAAAATATGAAATTTATTTGTACTCGCTGCGAAACAGGAGAAAAGCTCGGAGAGGCTCGCTTTTCGTCCTGTTTCTAAAGCTCATACAAATAAATTTTATATTTTCCGACAATGTACATATATTGTATATTTACTTGAAGAAGTAATTATAATATACTTATATAAGTAAATTTGAAGGATACTTATACAAGTGTATTTTATTTACTTGTATAAGTAAATTATTTTTTGGTCTAGTTATGTCCCTTAGACATTCAGATTTTTTTACTTATACATGTAAAAAAGTCATCCTATCTTCTTTTCTTAAATTCTTAGAACTTCTTTGCTCTAACAGAATTTTGAATTGTCTGTCCTTTGCAGATGGCTTTACTATTCATTTAAGTGTAATACACCTTTGCAGATGGCTTTACTATTCATTTAAGTGTAATACACCTTATCGCTATTCCCGCTTGACCCGAGAATCTGTCCCGCTCGACCTTTTGACGTCATACAACAATCACTTTTCCATTGTGGCGTCAGATATTTTCTATTATGACGTCAAAATTTTACGGGAACTTGTGTGATGTCCAGTAATGGGGGATAAATAGCGATAAGGTGTATTTCATGGAAAATGAAAATCTCATTTGTCTGTTATCTTTAGAACACTGCTCATTTAAAAGCCCCCAAGGAGCAATTTTTGAAGGCCTTGCGCAAATACTTAAGATTTTTGCTCAATCAGTTTCTTTGTTGAATTAATGAGCTGAAACATTGAACTCTTATCAAAAATTATGAGCTAACCTTAGAAAAATTGTTAAAGGCATGATTTTACATCTCAAAACTTGAGAATTTTTGTGGGATTGTAAAAAAAATTTACTTATACAAGTAAATTTTTTAGAAAGTTAAGGGGAGATTATTCTAACAATATAATTAACTTGTATAAGTATATTTTATTTACTTCTTCAAGTAAATAAAGATTACTTGTACAAGTAGTACCCCTTACTGATTGTATTGTATTGATTATGTCCTTGATTGACACGGACAATAGACATACAATAGGTATCTACACAACTATAGGTGAGTTAAAGGGTTTAACTGAGTGGACAGTATCAAAGCAATTCAGGTGTTTGTTTATTTTTACACCTTTTGCAGAAAGGAAAAAAAATGCCCATCAAAATCCAAAAGTGATTCTATCTTTCTGAAACAAAAAATGCATTTAACATTTATATATCTAGTGGATGCCAGGCCTTTTAAACTTTCCAAACTGCACAGGTAAGTCTGTACACAGAGTAGTGTTTGAGGTGCAAATACAGCCATATTTGTCCATTTGTGATGATGAACCTTAAGATAACAGAAAGGCAGGCAACCTGTTATCCCTATTTATCCCCAAGTAGTATAAGCCGTAAATCTACAACAAACAGCAGTCAGGGGACTTACTTAAATGAGTGATTTTCTAAATCACTGATTCAAGTAACATTATGTCCACAAAGGTTGGAAGTAAGAGTTGTCTTTCTTTAATAATGACCTATTTAAGTGGTACAAATAAATCACTAGACTAAGTGATTTAATTTAATGGTAGCTTTAAATATACAATACTAATGATCCAAGGACTAATTATGTTGCTAAAATTATCAGAACCAACATCTGTGTTGACAGGATGACCGGTCATGTCAGGTGATGACCTTGTACTGAATCTGGGATAATGACATAAAAATCACTTGTTTAAGTATCATACCTCAATTTCCTTCCAAAAAATCACTTCTTTAAGTATCATTATTTTAATAACCCCCACTAATTTCAACACCCCCAAACTGTGAAATTTTGATTGCGAACAGTAGAATTTTATTACATAACCTGTAAGATGAAACCTTGAATTTTACAGGAAAAATACTCCCACTGCTGGGAAAAATCTGTTAAGAAAGTATCAGTTCATTATGTAAAGCCTTTTTTGTAGCATTTTTTCAACTAAAATAGAATTTACAGCTAAATGATTGCATCAAAGGCATACCCTTGCTACTTAAAAGAAGCAAAAGGTTCATTTTTTTTTCAGTTTTACCAATGAAATGATATTATCTACACCTATGTGTTTAAAATTTTGGTAAAACTACAAAATCACAATTTTTGACAAAACTTCAAATTTGATACTTAAATAAGTGATTTAACATGTAAAAATCACTTGTTTCAATAAGTCCTCTGACTGAACAGCTAGATACTGTAAATTTACATTTTTTTGGGACGTTTATTATTACCAAAATTGCGAACGGATAGGTATTTTAAATTTTGCTCAATGAAATTCTCATGTACATGATGTATGTCATGTATGTATACATCATTTATTGAAATTGTTATAATTGATCTTGCTTTTTGTCGAGCTGCGACTTTTGTCGCAAAATCGAGACATAGCGATCCTACATTCCGTCGGCGTCGTTGTCGTCCGGCATGGGCGGTGGCGTCCACAAATATTCACTCTGTGGTTAAAGTTTTTGAAATTTTAATAACTTTCTTAAACTATCCTGCATTTCAACCAAACTTGGAAAGAAGCTTGTTTATGATCATAAGATAGTATCCAGAAGTAAATTTTGTAAAAAAAAAAAAATCCTGTTTATCCGTATTTTACTCATAAATGGACTCAGTTTTTCTGCCAGTTAACAGTACATTCACTCTGTGGTTAAAGTTTTTCTAATTTTAATAACTTTCTTAAACTATCCTAGATTTGTACCAAACTTGGACAGAAGCTTGTTTATAATCATAAGATAGTATCCAGAAGAAAATTTTGTAAAAAAAAAAATCCTGCAGCTGTTTATCCATATTTTACTCATATATGGACTTAGTTTTTCTGCCAGTTAACATAACAGTCACTCTGTGGTTAAAAGTTTTTCAAATTTTAATAACTTTCTTAAACTGTCCTGGATTTCTACCACACTTGGACAGAAGCTTGTTTGTGATCATAAGATAGTATTCAAAAGTAAATTTTGTTTAAAAAAAATCCTGTTTATCTGTATTTTACTTATAAATGGACTTAGTTTTTCTGCCAGTTAACATTACATTCACTGTGGTTAAAGCTTTCAAAATTTTAATAACTTTCTTAAACTATCTTGGATTTGTACCAGACTTGGACAGAAGCTTGTTTATGATCAAAAGTTAGTATCTAGAAGGAAATTTTTGTCGTCGTCGTCGTCCGTCGTCGTTAGCTTTTTACAAAAATTTTCTCCTCTGAAACCACTGGGCCAAATTTAACCAAACTTGGCCACAATCATCATTAGGGTATCTAGTTTAAAAAATGTGTCCGATAACCCCGCCTGATCAGCAACCAACCAAGATGGCCGCCATGGCTAAAAATAGAACATAGGGGTAAAATTTATTTCCTGTTTTTCCGTATATTTCTTATAAATGGACTTAGTTTTATTCCAGTTAACATTACGTACAGTCTGCAGTTAAAGTTTTTAAAACATTTATTAGATTCATAAACCTTCATGGATTTTTTCCAAACTTGAACAGAACTTCTTACAAGCAAAAGATAGTATCTAGAGGAAAATTTTTAATAATTTTTTCCCCATTTTTGTTGAGCCTGCGACTAACAGCAAAAGTTGGCGAGACACTGGGTTCCGCGGAACCCTTACAAATTTTTTGTCCTTTCTTCGACAATCAAAAAAGTAATGCATGAATTTTTCTTTTTTTTGAATTTTCAACTCCAACCAAACATGCATACAATTATCCTGGATAATATACATTGTACATGTAATCTTTTTACACAAAATATTTTTATTGGCGTAAATCTTAACTGTAAAACTGGTATATGTATATGAAATTTCAATGACATGTTTTGATTGTAGTTAATTTCTACTTTTCATTACAGGTAAATAATGCTCAAATGTTTCACTCTTGGAAAATGCTTGAAGTTAACAATCTGGTCTTTGCAGTCAGTCAGGTAATTTATTATAAACCACCTTAGACCTATGATATAAGGTGCATTATGTGTTCTGCTTTGTGCATTTCTTCATCATAACAGACTCATATATATATGAATTAGGAGATATGGTATGCTTGCCAATTAGACAACATTCCACTAGAGAGTAAAAAGGGCAGGTTAATTATGATGTAAAAGATATATACCAAATTTTGGTTTTGACCCAACAAGCCCAAAATTAACATTGAAACATGGATTATAGAAGAGAGTGAACCTGGTACATTGATATTCTCATGCTCAAGTTTTGGTTTAAGTAGTTAATTATGAATTTGTGGTCACAAACTTAAAATTTCATCATAATTCACATGATATTTATACACTAAAGCTACCAAACTATCCTAATTATTTTCAGTGATTTTGAAGCAATTGAAGTATTTTACTTAAGAAATAATTCTTTCATGCCATACTTTATGCTCATTTTAACATGGTTAGGCATTATACTTGTCAATATCTTTATACCAAGCGTTAGCGAGGTGTAAAATATTGACAAATATAATGCCTACCCATGTTAAAATTAGCATAAAGCATGGTATGATAGAATTATTTCGATTCTGATAGGAAAAATTAGAACTTTTGTACTTTGAAGCGGACCTATAATACACGTTCGAAAGGCAGCCATTTTGATTTGATGAACCAAAAACGTTATAGAAAATCAACAGTTCCACAATAAAAAAATTAACATATATATGTAAACTTACTTTTAGAATGGTTTTTATTAATTTCCTAGTGAGCAACACCAACAAAGAGATCCATTTCGATCTCCGGCGTTGTTCAAAATACAACTGACGTTGCAATTTCAATTGTGATGTCAATCACCTGCAGCCCATATTTTACTGTAATTAAAGCATTGCTTTGTTTCCAAAGCGAAAGAAGAACGTCATATTAGAATTTATGTCAAATTCGATGGCCAAATTAGGATCTGATACCTCCTCCTTGCTAGAGAGATTTGAAATTTTCTTGTTCTGATGACAATGGAGTTAAACAATAAGTTTCGGGCTTTATTTGAAGAATGTATGTTTTAAAGGGAAATAACTCCAACTGCATGTTTAATAAAAAAAAAAATGATTTAATATTTATTATGGCTGTTTAAGTTTTTTACTTAACATGATAAAGACTCTGGTTACTTATATTTATTTTAAAGACATTTAACCCATTATGAAATTCTTGGAGTGAAACCAGATGCTTCAAAAGATGAGATTAAAAAGGCCTATAAGAAGAAGTCCTTAGAGGTAATGTGCTGGTATATTCAATGCTTTTCAAGTGTAGGATTTTCTGATCATGTGATCACCAGGAGAAGAAGTCCTTAGAGGTAATGTGCTGGTAAATTCAATGCTTTTCAAATGTAGGATTTTCTGATCATATGATCACCAGGAGAAGAAGAACACGAAATAAATGAAAAGAGCTGGCCTAACACTGTTGCTGGCTAACAGGAGATGGGTCATATTTTACCCTGCCTACTGATCCATTTTGTCCTCACATATGGTATTGGACTGTAGAACAATCTAGTACTAGGAAAATGTCAAGAAAACAGTTGCTCATAAAATCTGGCTGGCCTCAATGGCCGAGTGGTCTTAAGTAGTTCTGTTAAATAGCCTATCAACACTGAGGTTGTGAGTTCGAACCCCACACATGACAGGTGTGTTTAACTCGAGGACAATCTTAATTGACTAGGATTGGCAGTCTTGTAGTCAAAACTCACTCCAAAGGTAATGGTTCTCTTCGGGCACTCTGGCTTCCTCTACCAATAAAAACTGGCTGCCGCTAAATGGGCAATAAGTGCTGAAAGTGACTATAACACCAAAAATTAATCAACGATAAAATAAGTTTAATTAAGAGCTTTGGACTTGCTGCATACAAAAAGATCTTCCAAGACTTTTCAGTGAGAACTAATGTTTACTGATGATTGTTTATTCCTCATTGAAACAGTATTTTAGAAAACAATATTGAAACATACATGTAGGTGATTCTTTGATGAGTTTTAAATCTTTTTCGCTATTTTCATTTTAGCTACATCCTGATGTGAATCAAGATGATCCAAAAACACACGACAAGTTTGTTGAATTAAAAGATGCATATGGTACACTGCTCAAAGAGGATTCACGAGAACAATATGACAAAGACCTAAACATGGCTTTCATATACCACCGGCATAAGACAAGGTATAACCAATAAAATTCCAACATCAACCCCCCCTTTTATATACAAACAACATACGACAAGGAAAAAGGAATAAAAATCAGTGAAAAGTTGAAAATATAATATCATAACCACGAGCATGAAAACATGCATGCATAATCAACTTGCATTTCCTTAACCAATCAAATCAAGAAAGCTGCCGGATTGTGATTCATTTTAAATACCTCTATGCATATTCAATAGATAGATATAGGAAGATGTGGTATTGAGTGCCAATGAGACAACTCTCCATCCAAGTCACAATTTATAAAAGTAAACCATTATAGGTCAAGGTACGGCCTTCAACACGGAGCATTGGCTCACACCGAACAGCAAGCTATAAAGGGCCCCAAAAAATTACTAGTGTAAAACCATTCAAACGGAAAAACCAACGGTCTAATCTATATAAAAACGAGAAACGAGAAACACGTATGAACTACATAAACAGACGACAACCACTGTAATCAGATTCCTGACTTAGGACAGGTGCAAACATTTGCAGCGGGATTAAACGTTTTAATGGTACCAAACCTTCTCCCTTTTCTGAAACAATAGTATAACATCACAACATAGAAAAACACACTATAAAATATCAATTGGAAGGCTTAACTCAATCAAAAAACGTAAATTAACACACAATGAACAAATAAATTTGACCTGTGACACCTGAATGCAAATACACAGTTAATAAAAAATTACAAGGGATAAATAATTAAAGTCAAAAGTAAATAAACATGTTTAAACAAAGTTAAAGTATAATATCACTGTGAAATTTCAAACAATTTTTAGAAAATCATCACTTTTGAAGAAACCTGCGTCATATTATACACAGGTAAATGAAAATAATTTTGTTGTTAAGTATACTTCTTCTTCTGTGTGTATAAAATCTTCCGTTTAGGAATACCAAGAAATTTCTTTAATATCAATAAAACTAATCTAACATTTGGTACATATGGGGTGAATATCAACAATAAAAATATACAATTAGTGTTAGATAAAACTTCCTGTACAGGTCCACATTTATTACAGAGTCTTAGACCTGTTTGATTATCTACACAAATCTCCTACAATCATCCTGATTCACAGTGAATCACTCAACACGAACTAAAGTGATGGTTTGACTTATCTCCTTGTGTGTACTGTACACCAACCAGAAATGTTAAAATCCACTATGATTTAGTGATATCCAACTTTGTTGATGATTACCAGTAGAACAACCAATTTTATCCTACATGTTTAATAATCAGCTATAAGTACATGGTGTTCTGTTGATCATTTTTAATGTAATTTTTACAGACACAGATCTCTTGAAGATGAACATGATCTTCAACATAAAAACTTTGAGAGGCACTTTAATGTAAAGATTGATAAGGCTGATTTTATAAAACAAGTGGAAGAGATGGAGAAAGAATCCCGCTCTGCTGCTGGACCTAAGATAGATAGAAGTGTTGGCAAATATATTGTGGCATTTTATATATGTGCAGCAGTTTTTGCCTTTTTTGTGGTGTAGTAAGTTCATATTTTTAGTGTAGAAAATTAAGTGGTATTTTAGTGTGAAGGTAAAGTGCAGGCAAGATGAAACAGTGAGAAAAAATTACTGTTGATTTATTATTATTTATAAGATACTAATTTTTGATGGATTTCCACAATAAAGGTATTAAAACCATGAATTAAAAATTCAACAAAATGGAAATTTAATTTAGGATGTACCAATAGGATTTGTCAATTGTTATTTAGAAGTTTGTCTAAAAGGCTTGATTGATTGTAGTGTGGCTAATGTTCAGTTGCAAATATTTCATGCTTATTCAGGAAAAAAAAGGATCAGATCATGCTGTAAAAAAACAAACATGAAATCGTTTTGTTTACAATTTTTGTTTTACTAATTACCCCCACACGTCGAAGAAGCAGGGGTATACAGTTTTTGACCCATTTGTCTGCAGTTGGTCAGTCCATCAATCATCATGGTTTGCAGGTGCTATATACCAGATGGCAATTACTTGGTCATACATAAAGAGAGGAAGATTTCTTTTGATTTTAATGTAACCCCATCATAAGTTAAGGTTAAACTTACTAAAAAAATATGGAAAGTGGTTTCCAAATGCCAAATCAAATACTTTATATCAGAATTGCAACCCAACTATATGTGTGGTCTATATGAGATAAAGACTCATATATATAGAGTGTTAATTCACTAGGTCTACGGTCAAGGCTAAGTCATAATTACTATAATATATGTTATGCTAATTTTCTCAAGCAAAACAATAAAATCTCATTAAAAGAAGGTCGTAAAGAGGAGTATTTGCAGGGACATAACGAGAAATAAAATGGTAATTTCATGATGAACAAAAAATTAAAAATAGGTTACACATTGTTTTTTTAACCACTTTGCACAAAACACAGTATTAAAATAATGAGCTTCAAACACATTGATTAAATAAAAGAAGAATGTGTCTGAGGACACAAATGCCCCCAAAAAAACAAAAATGGGACAGAGTGTCAAGGCTAACACTTAATGCCCCCTTCGCCTACAGTGGGGGCATAAAAATGGCAAACATGTTGCATGAAAATAACTTGCTACACAATTAAATCTTACTTTTAAAAGCAGTTTCCAAGAGTACAATACATTCATATCATAATTCAGTAGAAAAAGAATTATCAATGATATTTTTAATCAAACTTATTGAATTTTATTTTTCCCTTCAAGTTCTGAGATGACCAAAAGAAAGTTTTCTGAAATACCACAACAAAAGAGATATGTACATCCAAGTCAAATGGCCATGAGTCATGAAAAAGAAGCATTCATGAAACATTATAAGGACCAACAAGAGTAAGTATAATCAAGCTGTATAAAACAATACTGTGGATTCGTTAATATTCAGGGGATACCAGATTTCATGGATTTCTTGTGGGTCTCATTGGGGTCTAAGCGTGACCCGGGATTGCCGATTTTTTGTAAGCGTCAAATTATTGTGCCGTGAAAACGGGAAATGAAGTCTAGCGGGACACGGGAAATTACAAAAAAATGAGAATTGCTTACGTACATAGTGTAAGCGGGATACAGGAATCTGACCATAGAGCATAATATTCATGGGATCAAATTGAGAATGGAAATGGGGAATGTGTCAAAGAGACAACAACCCGACCATAGAGCAGGGATACCAATTTTCATGGATTTCTTGGGTTTAGGTGAACCACAAATTTCAATATTCACAGAAGTAGGATTTTTTTATAAGCTTATATGCAGACATTGGCAAAACAACAAAATCAAATATGCACAATTACCGTTCCTACTCGCTTATTAGTCGGAAAATTGGGAGTAAAATTCATAATACAGAGAGGGGGACCGACTAATAGACGAGATCTAGCGACCAGAGGAAAAATCCAAGCTTGAGAAAAGTGGTCAGGAGTGAATTTCCTGGTCAAAACTACGTTTTTGATTGCCAAACCTACATAAATCAATAAATAAAAAGTTTTTGTTGAAAATAAATGACTACAATACTGTCTTTGTGTTTTATTTGTTCTTTGGTAAACATTTTCTGCAAATTCGTGTTGAAATTCTACTGTTTCCGGTTTGTGTATTGATTTTCATGGTCACATGGTTTTCCTATAAACCCAAAAGAAGAGCCAAGAACCAAAAATGAAAAGGAGATAACAATGTACCAAATATGTGAAAGGATGTTTTCAGCGGAGTTATTGTGTCATTATTGTGATATCATGATATCAATTCAATGTTTATAAATCATATAATAATCAAAAAATAATTTTAAGATTCATTCCCAAAATCAAAATATTATTCATTAAAGTGTCTCAGGTAAACAAAAATTACAAAATTGATTGACAAGCCAATATAATCCATTGATAACCCCAATTAAGAGACAAAGAGTTGTATTTACTAAAGGTGTGAAAACTATCAGTGATAGGTAAACAGATGACACTAATGAGTTGGAGTTAGTTATTTTAATATATTGATTAGCTTCACTTAATTTTTTTAATCCTTTAATCATCACAATATAATAAGAATTATGAAGTGTACATGCTCATTTAACACCAATTATGTATGCTGTGAAAAATATTTTCATCAAGTGTTGATTGACTTTAAATTTTTCAGGTTCATATTGGTTTATATTCGCTTTTCTCAAACAATAGGTTATTAGTCATACCCTACAAAATCATTGATGCATTATGTAAACAACACATGGCTAATCTAACATTTGAACAGTGAACAAAACAAGAGAAATGAATACATCTTTATTATTAACAGCAATATAAATTATCATGATGAGCATCAACTAAATTCAAACCAAACAAACATTAATGCAGAAATGAATATTATTCCTGGATTTGCATTGGTTTTACCGGCGTTCAGTTACTGTCAGCTGAAAAAAAAATGCCCAAATTTTGTCCGACTTATACGAGGGTCAAGACTAAATCCTTAGAATTTGGAGCTGAAAAGGGCCCCCGACTTATAGTAGGATCGACTATTAGGCGAGTATCTACGGTACATGATTTTTCAACAATCCACGAAAGTTGGTACCCACGAAAATAAATGAATCCACAGTAATTGAAGTATCTGTACTGTAATATATCATGTAATTGTAAAAATAGACAGAATACAACAGTGTAAATGTACCATAGAATTCAATATTATAAATTCAGAAATTAATGGGAGGTTTTTATTAATGCGAATAATGCGACTCCTTGTGTAACACAATAGTAAGAACTCACATTCTGATATATATGATTTTTATATATGTATGAAGCTTTTCCTAAAATCACAATAATTAAACTCAGGTACCACAATAGTTATCTCAATTGTAATCGCAGTTTTGTTAATTCTTCAAAAATCGCAATAATAAAGGCACACAATAATTTCTGAATTTACAATAATACCAGTAATCTTTATCTTTGTTCAGGTAATTTTAAAACTAGAACCTTACAAGCCTTTTTTGGCATGATATCAATACTGTACAACTCAGAAATTATTAGATAAAAAGAGATGTGGGTTATGTGTCAATGAGACAGCAACCCAATGACTCAAATTACCAAAAGAACTCCACATTTTTATAGTCTAATGTAGAATCAATAATTGAATATTGATTAATGAGATTTCTGGAAATGCTGCATGCTACTTATACTAATTTACACAATTAACCAAAAAGATCACATGATTTGTACATGTTACAGTAAAGAATTAGGTCACATGTACATGATGATGAGGAGCAAGAAAATAAAGGAAACAAAAGAAGACAATATAAAGCAAGCACAATTTGCAGAAGAAAAGGTTAGAAAGAACAGAAGATTAAGGACAGGTGGTTCAAAAAAGAAAGAAGAAACCGCTCAGTAAGGTAAATAAACATGATATATTCTCTATGAGTGTGTTTTGTATTGATAATTCTCTATGTCAGTCCCTTTCTAAGTTGCAGTTGCGTTCAGTTGCAAAATTTCCTACAGATAAAGAAAGCTTGACAGAATTATACCTTTAGATTATTTTTGATCAGATATATATTTGGGGTTCCCCATTACAAAGAATGTTAATGCAAAATAAATATTTTGGAAGTGCACCTTGAAAAAGTGCTTGGCCAATTGGTATTCTGAATGGCCAATACCTCTTTCATTATCACAGTTTTTGTAGTGTGAACTTTATAAGGAGATTCATATGTACTGTTGCAATTATCTAGATTCTTCAAAGAGCTAATCTATATGTATATAATGTGTGATTTGAAAATCAGGTAACACCAGGTTGTAAAAAGCTTGAATTTGCTTTTAAATCTTGAACTTAAAAACTAAGTTATTTATTGTTACAAGTAAGCTCTGAGATGACTTTGAACATGTCATTGTAGAGGTATTCAGTAGTTCTTTTATTGAATTTTAATTTGTTAAATATTTTTCTATTGTAGGACACTGTTTGGCTTATCAGCACCATTATCTAATTTTATGTACAGATTCTGGACTTCTGGTTTTACATCATGAAAACCTATCTATGGATATGGATACAGGCAAAGGAAATTTAACTTTTGGTAATTTGTATCATTGGGATGTTGTCTCATTGAAGAAAACCCACACCTCATTTTAATCATAATAACGAGTAATTTAAAAAAAATATGAATCCTTTGGTAGAAAATACTTTACAAAAGTAAAATGATTAAACTGAACAGTGTGTTAAATAAGAATAATACATTGATTTTTATCAGAAAAATTAATAATTTAAATTAAAATCTCAGTTGACCATCGTATTGTTAGGTTATTTTGATATTTGAATTTGAAACACAATCAGGATATTAATATTTAACATTCCCAATAGTTAGTCTGACAGTCAGTCTGTCAGGCTCAAAAGTGGTAGAAACTTCTGTTGGTTGTGTACTACTCCTTGTGTTTTAGTGAATCATTGATTTGTTGACAGTCAAACAAGTAATTTTTTTTCTTTTATTATTTGGTTAAAAATCATAAAAATGTATTTTTTTGCTAACTTGCTACCAGTTTTGACTTAACTGAAACAGGCAGTCATTAATAAGCTGTAAGTTTATCTTTAAGGAAAAAAATCTGGCATGTAGAAATGAAAATCATGGGCAATTTTTTGTATCCAATAAGAAATACATCCAAGAACATTGTCTTTACTTTTACCAGGGGTCTTATTGACCTAGTTATATGATTTGAATTCTTAAGAAACAGTCTAGGGGAACATCTTTCTTAAAACCCCTGTCATTTTTTCTAGTCTACCTTATTTGTACATTTGATTTTGTTGAACTTGAATGATTCAAAAATACATTTGTAAATATTTTTACTTGGTAAAAGCAACATGACAGGTGTCAATAGTGTAGCAGGCAGATTTCATCTCCAGCTAGAGAACCTGGTGGCATTGGTGGCATGTTGTTTGTCTTTTCACCTGCCGCTGTTTATCTTTATTTTAAACTTATCATAATTTTATTTCTTATGTTTTGTAAATTAAAAGAAAGATTCTATTATTTTGAATTAAAAAAAAACTTATTCTTTAAGCTTCCTTCAATTTTTTGCGAGGAAATATAGTCCATCATCATGTTAATCTTTTTCAAGATTTTTTGAGTCTTTTCTATCATATTCGTTTTACCATGTGATTTGGTACAGTGAATAAGTTATTCTTCTTACTTTTAGTGTATTTGTGTTTTCCTGTGTGAATGAGTGTATGTGCTTGCAAGCATGTGCATTTGTTCATGTGTTTATGTGTTTGTAAAATATTTTAAATGGAAGGGCATTGGTTACATGAATTGAATTTTTTGACTCAGTATTTATACATGATGAACTAGTTTTATATGAATGTATGAAGATATTTTATTGTAAATAGTAAGAAAGATTAAAACATTGTATTATTTGATTTTAAGTTAAACTTATATAAAAGACTGAATAATTAAATAACAATCTTTTGAAAGAGAGAGAGAAAGAAAAGAGTTGAAACTAATTATGGATGCCAACTAACTATTTAATATGACTTGTTAACAATGTTTCCTTGTGGTAACAGGCTAATGCTACAATCGTCACTAATATTGAGTCAGTGAAATAATCACATATATACACCTGGAAAAAAGTATTGCAACACCTGATTTTTTCCATTAGACAAATTTCAAACCTTACGTGTACCATTTTTTTCTAAAATATGGTTAAATGTTCATAGTTTTGGGGTGAATTGGGTCTTTTTAAAGCTGATAGACATGTTAAACACTGAAAAATTCAAATTTAATTATACAAAATTTTATTTTAAAAAAGACATCATTTTTGAGCACAAATGCACTGTTTACAATTATTGGTCTACGAGATTCCAATTCCATCGGACAACTTCGAGTTGATGTCAAACACACCCATTTTGGTCCATTTTGTCAATTTAAACCGGAAATTTCAATATTTTGTATAACTTCCGTTCACACGGATCACTGCTTCCAGCCTCCTTCTCATACCACCACATAACCGTCGTATTTGTTGTTGTGTTAACTGTTGCCATTCATGGTGCAGTGCATTGTCAAATTCTGCAAGATTTTGCACAGGAGGTGACATTTTTTGCACTTTTAGACCGATGATGTCCCAAATGTGCTCTATCGGTTTTAAATCGGGGCTACAAGCTGGCCAGGGCAATGTCTCCACTGACTCGTCGTGAAGATACGCTGTTACAGCCCGCGATCGATGCGGTCGTGCATTATCGTCCATGAAAATGGGCCTTGTCCTCAACGGGTGATTGTCAAAATGCGGCACTACACTTGCCTCAAGGATTTCCTGCTGGTATCTTTGCCCATTAAGGTTACCACGAACAGTTTTCAGGTCCAACTTGCAGTCATAAGACACGCATCCCCACACCATAACGGAGCCACCACCGAAAGCGACTGTCTCAACAATGTTCTTTTCGGCATATGCGGTATTTGGCTGCCGCCAAACACGAACTCATCCATCCGTGACATGCAACAAAAATCTGCTTTTGTCGGACCAATGCACCCTTCTCCAAGATACCAAGTTCCAGCGACGATGAGCTCGACACCACCGTAATCGTTCAGCTTTGTGTCTAGGCGTTAACAATGGCCTTTTCACGGGCCTTCGGGAACGGTATCCTGCCCTTTTGAGTCGATTTCTCAAAGTTCTTGAGGAGAGTGCACGATGTGGAAACCACTGTCTTTTCAATACTGTACTGTTAATGAAGGGGTTTCTTCGAATAACTCGGCTAAGAGCTCTGTTTTCACGATCGGAAGTTACTGAAGGTCTTCCAGATCAGGGAAGGTCCTTCACAGAATTGGTATTTTGATGTTTACTTACAATTCTGCTGATGGTTGAATGGTGGTGGCCCACGCGTCGGGCAATCTGCCTTAACGACATTCCAGCTTCTCGCATGCCAATAATTTGCCATCTAACATCAGTAGAAAGTTGAGGAGGACCCATTTCATCAACTGTTGATAAGTCTTTTACAAACAAGCTAACATACAGCATACATTTTGACCCGTACCTTAAACTTGACTTTTGAAAGTTTTAAGTGACGGCCACGCACGGACAGCTCATGGGGAAATGCATGGGCGAAAAACAATTAATTTAAGGTCAATAAGTAGGAAATGTGTACTCTATCAGATAAATAAAAATGAAAATAAAAAAAATGAAATTTCAGTTTTTTATTTCATTTTATATTTGGTGTTGCAATACTTTTTTCCAGGTGTATAGATTATGGAATTTGTTTTGTAAAAAAGATAAAAATAAAAATTTAACATTATTTTGGTTTTTTTCTTGTTGTCACCTTTGGTATTTGAATGTTAGACTTAAGGATGTTAATTTGGTGATGGAGTGTTCTTGGTAAAGCTTTTTATTAGCTCACCTGGCAAAAGGGCCAAGTGTGCTTTTCTCATCACCTGGCAACAGTCGTCTGTTAACTTTTACAAAAATCTTCTCCTCTGAAACTATTTGACCAAATTTAACCAAACGTGGTCACAATCATCATTGGGGTATCTAGTTTTAAAATGTGTCCGATGACCCCGCCTGCCAACCAAAATGGCCGACAAGGCTAAAAATAGAACATAGGGGTAAAATGCAAGTTTTGTCTATTATTTTGAAAACCGTTAAAAATAGAGAAAATCTGACATGGGCAAACATGTTCAGAATGTTGAGCTCTACCAATTGTTCATTGACGTCAAAACTGTCAGGTGACTTCTTATAGGAGTTATTGCCCTTAAATGAAAAATTTTACCATTTTTTTCATTTTTGCCTATTATCTTGAAAACTATAATAGATAGAGGGAAATTGTAAGTTGCAAAAATGATCAGCAAATATAAAAAAGAAGATGTGGTATGACTGCCTTGAGACAACTCTCCACAAGACACCAAATGACACAGAAATTAACAACTATAGGACACCGTACGGCCGTCAACAATGAGCAAAGCCCATACTGCATAGTCAGCTATAAAAGGCCCCGAAATGACAAATGTAAAACAATTCACACGAGAAAAACTACCGGTAATGTCCAAATTTATGTACAAAATAATGAATGAAAAAACAAATATGTAATACAGCAACAAACGACAACCACTGAATAACAGGGACAGGCACAAGACAATATCTAAGGATAAGTATGATATTCAAAATTGTCAGTCGACTCCTTATAAGAGTTATTGCCCTTTGATGACAATTTTTACCAACTTTTGCGTTTGTGCCTTATATCTTAAAAATTATAATAGATAGAAACTTCAATAAGCAAAAATTGTCAACACAAGATCTACATTTGAGAGAATATGGAGGAAATTTTCTGAAAACTCCTTGTTGGAGTTATTGCTCTTTAATGACGATTTTCACCAATTTTTTTTGTTGTGTTTTGCCTTATATGATAAAAATTATAATAGATAAATAGAAACTTTAAATAACAAAAATGATCAGCAAGGCAAGATCCACAAACAAGTCAAATTTTGCGGATATAGTTTGTACACTGTCACTCTTCATAGGAGTGATTGCCCTTAAATGAGGATTTTTTTGTACCCTCTTTTGTGTATTGAGCAAAAACTAAGGAAGATAGAGAGAAACTAAACAGACAAAATGATCAGCAATACAAGATCAACAGAAATGAGATTTTTGTCATGAATTCTGTTCTCGTCTATAAAGTTGGAAAGAGTCCAATATTGAATATGCACATGGTCCGAGTACACAGTTATCGTCCTTTGATTTTCGTTGTCCACGAATAAAGTCCCTAGTGTGGACAGTGTGTTGCTTGCCAATTTTTTTAGTACCCCTTCCAAATGTATTCCTTCATGTTTTATGCCTCAAATAGCAAGTAGGGGGATGAAATTACACTGTAAAAAAATTTGGGTCATGAATTGTAAAGTAAAGTAGTGATTTGGTCCAGCTGAAAAAGGTTAAAAATTAGCACTTCGGAAGCTGTCAAAAGATTTCAAGACCCCCTTAACATAGAATTGTCCATATTTTGAGTTAGAGCCGATGAAGTTTTCTATAATTTTGATATAATTTGTCCCAAAAGTAGTACAACACACTGTAAAAATATTATTGAGAAAGCGCAGGTGGGATTTTTTTTATTTTCATTTATTGTCTAAAAGAAATGCACTACGAAATAACTGTGTACTCGGACCTAAGAGGCGAAATCAGTAAATATAGAATCTGTACTTTGGCAACTTCCCTTAATGATATAATGGTGTCAATTTGTCAGATAGCATGAAACTAAAGGATTTAAACTTTTATTTGATAGAAATTCTGCAAAAATTACCCATTTTGGCATTATATGGTCAAAATAAGCATTTCAAAGCTTTTTCAATTTTGATGCATAAGTGGCATTCTGACTTTCTATGTGACAGGTTTTCCTGTGTCAATATTTGTGTTTCTATGCTTTAACCCAGTTGTATTACTCATTTGTGAACTCTGAATCTACAGAAAATAAGATTATCTCAGACAATATGTGCAAAATGTGTTGTATAAATGACCCTCGTGTAACGGCCTGTTTGGATCAAGTTAAATGTGAGGACCTAGGTAAATAAAAGTTGAAGTCCATAATAAAGATTTCACTAAATTTGTATTAAAAGCACTTCACAATGTCTTTTGTACCTGTTTCATTTCACATAGTATCTTTCTTTTCTTATGTTAAATAGCAAGTGGTTCAAATATAAGCCTGCTGAGGCTAAAATTGCATGCAAGTTTTTCACTAAAAAATGAAAAATCTTTGTATCAGACCATACTGTCTGCAAAAAAAGTTGAATGCAAGAGTCCTTTTATGCTCAGATTTATTGTATCATGTAACCTGAGTATAGAAATTATAAAAAAGACACAAATTTTTATTTCCTATAGCTTCAGTATGCATTTTTAAATGTAAATATGTGCTACGGCCTAAATTGGCCCTAAATTATTTTCA